TTTTAGAGAAGTTTCAGGTTCACAGAAATTTGAGCAGAAAGCACAGAGAGTTCCTATACAACCCCCGACCTGCCCCATAGTGTCCCTCACTGTCTGTTATACTATTTTCTGATGCTATCACAGAATAACTGACCCTCATGAATTTATAAAGAAGAGAGAATAATTTGCTCATGGTTCTGGAAGCTGGGAAACCCCCAAGCATGGCACTGATTTTAGAATAAAAGCTTGTAGCTTCACCATTAAGAATGATGTCAGTTGTAGAGTGTTTGTACATCTATTCAAGTTTAGGAAATTTTCTCCTATTCCAAGTCCACTGAGAATTCTTATAATGAATGTTATTGAATGTTTTAAATGTTTTTCTGCTGTAAAATCATGTGATTTTGCTTCTTTAACCTTTGCTGATGGATTACATTAACTGACTTTTGAATGCTGAACCAGCCTTTCCTACCTGGGACAATCTCAGTCGGTCAAGATGTATAATTGTTTTCATACACTATGAATTGAATTAGCTGTTAGCTGGTTGGGAATTTTTGCTGGACCATAGTCCTCCTTATTCTCATTTGAAAAGAACTTAAGGTGAAATCCAAATTCCTTATTCCTTGTAATTTCCAAAGGGTTTGGCCTTGTCCATATCTTCAACTTCACCTTCTTCTTTCTTTTCCCTTTCTATTTCCCCTCCCCTTTCTATTTCCCCTGGAGTACAATAACCTGTCAGCATCCTGAACTTGCTCAGCTCTATTCAGCTTTGGAAATTCCTATACATAACAGTAATTCCCATAGGAGTATCCTTTAGACTTTAGCTTAAATATCACCTTTCAAAGGGCTTTATCTAATTATTTCATTCACAAAGTATCTCACTCCTATTTTCCTTGACAATATCCTCTTTGTTGCCTAATTAACACTGATTACTGATTATAATTACATTTTTAGGTATTCCCATTATTATGTTGTGACTCTATAAAGAGAATGCATATATAAATATAGTCCCACCTCTATAAAGAGGTGGGACTATATTTATATATATTTTCTTCTAGTTTATTAACTATTCTTTCTCCAACTAATTACATAGAATCTGAAACAAAATAAATATCTTTAATTTAAAAAGAAAAAATGCATAAGTAGTTATACAACTACTGTAAACACGTGTCCAGTACCACACGAATAGAGAGAAAAATGTTAAATATTATATAATTGGAAATAAAATTCTCTTGAAAATGAGGAAAAGAAGTGACAAGTTCATTCTTATTTGTACAAACTAACTGGATTGATGTTTATCCTTGAATTTTCAATTGCCTCATAATGTTTCTGGGACTATTTTTTTTCTTCATTACATCTTTTTTTATTCCAGCTATGTATTTGATCTGATGATACCATTACAAATAGATGTTATTTCAAGTTTTATTTGGAAAAACCCAGTGAAATTAATTAATTGCAAGAATGAGTCTTGGACACATTCCAGTTGCAGGACTCCATGATTAATGTGGTATCATCATATAAAAATCTTCAGTGATCTTTGCGTCTGTGAGGTTAAAGATGCTGTCTTCTTAGCAATTGATTAATTATTTCAAATGATGCAGTATTAGACTTAGAACAAGATCTACAAATAGCAAAGGAATGATATATCCAAAAATTAAGTACAAGTATATGATCATACAAAAACAAGTGGAGATAGGTTTTTCAGCTGAATGGTAGTTATTTTATTATTATTATTATTTAAGTTACCAGAAAATAACAGAAATATTTTCCTGTTAAAAATACTAGATATTATCTTCTTGTGTTAACACTTTGCATTTATGATAAAATATCCTAACATGGAAAATTGTAATTTTTCTCTCTGCACCATGGGGTTCCTTTGAAATTAATCTACAATGAATGTAATGATTTTTGCAATATTTACAAGACATTAGATAAAACTGACAGGTATAATTTTATGATTTCAAATATATTCTGAAGAAACAGGATAGTCTTTTGTGCGCATCCTGGATAGCAGAGGGAATTCCAGCTATTTATGAGTGTATCTAAACCTCTGAAGGTAAGACGTCACCCTCAGTAGCATAAACCACAATTGGAATTGTGTGAATTTTTTATTAAATAGGAAATTATATCACTTTAAGTTTTCTCAACATTAAAATGTTGAGAAAACTTCTATAGGCAGAAAGTGAATGGTCAAGTTTTAATTGATAGCTATCCTGAATATATTTAAAATTTTTTTTTAAATTAAGTCAGAGACCATATTATATCTTCAAGAACTATGCTTCCATCTGGAAAGGTAGAAGACCCATGGTGAAAAGGTGATTCCTCAGTCAGACCAATTTGTGTCCTTTGAAGGCATGATGCCTGATGCAGACCCTGAGTCTTAATGAGATAATGGACACTCTGTGATGGCTGGAAATTCACAATATTTGACCAGCATGACACAAGATAGGTACTATACAGATACAAGTTGATAGAATTAATAAATAAAAGATTACCTATGCAATGCACCCTTCTACATGATTTATCATTAATTTAGATGTTATGATAACTGCTACAGTCTCTGAAATTAGCAATTACTACTTAGAATAGGTAAGAATAAAGTGGTTGAAAAGCATGGAGTGTAATTTAAATGAATTCTAATGTTATATAAAACTAAAAAGAACCAATAAACATAAGAAAATGCACATAAAAAGTACCAGGTACTCAATCTACTCTTTTCAGTAAGCTTATCCAAGCAAATATTGACTTGTTCAATAGATAATCTAAAAATTCTATCAAAAGATGCTTTAATTTTAGGAAGGAAATTGCTTTAATGTTTGAATGAAAATATTTTGCAAAATCATCAGGAGATCTGCTGATAAATATCTAGAAAAGGAAGACAGAAATGCTTATTTTATGACTTTTCAAGTCAATGTTCTTAGAAAAAAGATAAAATGATAAGGGAATTGGGAAAATGTGGTTGAAAAGAATTATGGATATTTGAGGATTAGTGAAAATCTTTGAGCAAATGAACATGGAGAATTCTAAGAGACGAATTTGGACAGTTGCCTGAATGACAGTCATCCAGAGTTATGTAGAACAAGGTAAAGACAATGGATTGGTTTATTGACCATGAGATCAGAATCCCACATTGGGGTTTTGAGCCAAGGACGGGGATGATCTGATTAAGACTGAAAATGCTAGTTGGGCTGCTTCAGCAAAACAGTTTGTTGGAGACCAAGATGAAAGTAGATAGACCTGTCAGAGGGGTACTGCGTTGGACCAGGGATGTAACGTGTATACCAAGGAGGATCAGATTTGCAATAGATTAAAATGGAGAGTGAACAGGACCTATTGAAAGAATGAATAAGTAACATGAAAGGAATAAAAGAGTCAAGGGTATTGTCAGAATTTGGCCTGAATAGTTGCATGAAAAGAGGAAACACTGGTTAGATATAAAGAAAATGAGAAGTAAAAGATTTATGGTGGAAAAATTAAAAATTTACTTTTGTAATAACTAAATGGATATCATTTGGAGGTGTCAACTAAATGGTTGCAGACACCAGTTTGAAAATTAGGGGAGATACAGTGGTGAAGACAGACAATTCCAGAGTGCTTTAAGCATTTACAGGTTTGGAAAAGAAAGAATATCCAAGTAAAGGTCCTTAAAAGTGGTTTCAGTGAATTGGTAGGACAGGGAGACTATGTGATAATTATTGGTCACACATCATGCCATATTCAATACTATGGTTCCCTTGTGTTTCTTTCTCCCCATTCCTCCCTCAAATTAATGTTGAAGACCCCACATTTCCAATATCACAGAATGTGACTTTATTTGGGGATAGGGTTTTTCCAGAGCTCATCAAATTAAACTAAGGTTATAAAGGCTAGCCCCATCCAATGTGACTGGTGATCTTTTAGAATGGGAAATTTGGATACAGGAAGAACAACACATGAATACAAAGTTGGTTACCAGCAAACCAAGGAGAGGGACCTAATACAGGTCCTTGCCTCGTAGTCTTCTTAGGGAATCAACACCATCCATACCTTTATTTTGAATTTTAGTATTCAGGACTCTGAGACAACAATTTTCTATTGATCGAACCATTCAGTAGATGCTACTGTTACAACAGCTCTAGAAAACATACAGCTTAGCTGATGGGAAATGGGGATGGAGTATTGCTGCAATAAATATCCAAACATGTGAAAGGAGCTCTGAGATTGAGTAACGGGTAGAGATGCTGCAAAAATTTTGAGATTGTGATAGAAAAAGCCTAGATTTCCTTAAAGAAACTGTATTGAAAGGTGATTCTGGGGAGGACTCAGAAAAGGAAGAGGAGAGCTGTTGAGAAGGCATTCTTTCTTAGAAATGACAAACAATGTGAGCATAATGTTCCTGGATATGTGAATGCTAAGTTGCTTGCAACAGACTGTACAATGAACGTGTAATTGGAAAGTGGAAGAAGGGCAATCAATCACTCTTAAAGAGTCGTAGCTTTAGCGATGAATACAGTGACTTTGGGTTTATGGTCTTACAATCTTAATTTATTTTACTCATTCTCAATATGCAAATTGCCTTAAGGGTATCTTAGGTATTACACTTGAGATTCCTGCAGTATTTACCCCATGTGCATCTTTTCGTGGAATTTCTTTTTCATTCATATTGTTATGTCAATTCTCATGTAAACTCATCATAAGTATGTTTCCTCTGAGAAACCTTCCCAGATTTCAGGAGGCTTAGCAATTCCACCACTGTGGAACTATAGTACAGCATAAATAACCATGTTTGTAATGACTCTAATTAAATTCATCTTTAACTGTGTGACATCATTATGTATCAAATCACTTAGGCCAGAGAATCCTATATTATTCAACTTGGTAAACCAGATATCTGTCGCAGGTAGACTGATGCAAATAGATGCTTCTTGCACATATTTTAGAGAATGAATGGATAAAGATTAAGGTTGTAATACTTCTAAGAAAGTTTCTGTTGCTTTGTAGATAAACTGCTTTAATATCTGGAATCAGCATCAATAAAGGAATAGATGGAACACAGAAGCAATACAACTTACTTTGTCCTCTTGGGCCTCACACAGAATCCAAAGGAGCAGAAAGTACTTTTTGTTATATTCTTGCTCTTCTACATCTTGACCATGGCAGGAAATCTCCTCATCGTTATGACCATAACCTTCAGTAAGACCCTGGGCTCACCAATGTACTTTTTTCTTGCTAGCTTATCATTTATGGATGCTGTTTATTCATCAGTTTTTTGTCCCAAGTTGATTTCTGATTTGTTCTTTGGGGAAAATACCATATCCTTCAAGCTCTGTATGGCTCAGCTCTTTTCAGAACACTTCTTTGGTGGATCAGAGGTCTTTCTTCTGTTGGCAATGGCCTATGACCGCTATGTGGCCATCTGTAAGCCCCTGCATTATTTAATTATCATGAGGCCATGGGTGTGTGTTGTGCTGCTGGTAGTTTCCTGGGCTGGAGGGTTTTTGCACTCAGTAATTCAACTAAGCACCATTTATGGACTCCCATTCTGTGGCCCCAATGTCATTGACCACTTTATATGTGACATGTACCCTTTATTGAAACTTGTCTGTGTTGACACCTATGTCATTGGCCTCTTAGTGATGGCCAATGGGGGACTCATCTGCACAACTGTGTTTCTGCTCTTACTC